ATTACAGCAGATGTGGGGTGCCCACTGTTTGTCTTGATCACCTAGTTTACAACCGAAATAAAGCTGATATGCCTTTGTTATTAGTGGAGTAATAGACCGTCTCTGAGACGCAAAAGTCACATCACCACACACGTAACAAAACTGATCTGGATTGTTTACACACTTTCGAGACATCTTGCATGAACGCTGTCAGCCAACTGAGGAAAAAATGGCTAATATAAAACAATATAATGTACACGTATGTATAACGTAACACAATCATGCCGATTACATCATCTTTCCTTGCCGAATATAAAAATGTAGCACGTGCATTCTTGTGAATTACAGTATATTAACACTGTCACAACAGGAACACATATAATTACCGTATCTCTAAAACTTGAACTAATATTGAAAAAATAAGTTTCATTCCGGTTTTAGCACATTAAAAATAGTAATATTTTGTTGATTTTATTTAGGATATTTTTTGGCTGTTGATCAGTGTTATGTTTCTAGCAAGGTGTGCCATTAAGTTGAGCGGATTTTAAAAAATGATAGAAAACAAACTTACAAAGCATAGAGCACATAATTTATAGTGTTAATAAAGTAGATACATCAGAATATCATTTTTTTTAAATAACATCATTAAAATGTGAGTCATCGAGACGTACGGACGTCGCAGTTTCGCTTAGTTTCCTCTGTTCTTATTGACCTTACCCTACATTGCTCATAGCGAAACAGACGCCTCGAAGTAGTGCAGGAATCTCCATTTTTGTAATGAGTCTTAACACAGAACGCACGGTTAAACGCCCCATGGCGTCTAAATTTCCTAGCGCCAAGCTATTTGCGGATTTGAAGTACGTACGTCCTTCTGGTCCACCATGTAGGTACTTTATTAGGTAGGTACTAGGTATTCGTATGTCAAGCGGTATTGGGCTTTGTTAGTTCTGCGCGGTTGCCATCTTGATATTACTTTTACTGCTTTGACTTACCGTTTACATCTTGAAATTTATTGCAATTTCAATGTTTCCTCTCTCAAGTGGCGTGCGAGGTAAAACATTCAACGTCCAGACGATTTCGTGTTTTTATAAATCATTCAAAAAAAAGGCAAATCGTGTTTCATCCATTCAGGAATAACGCAGAAAATTAAATATACTAAATGACATATAAATCCGAACACCCAGTTTTAATGGTTTTATTTTAATAAAATTTTGTATAAGTACTTAATGAAGCATAATAAGTAACCTTTAATAATGTGTGGATGCACCCTGATGTGCTACGCATTCTCCAACGCGCCTAGGCATGCTTTTGAGCAGGTGGTCAATGTCCTCCTGTGGTATCTCATTCCAGGCAACCACCAACTCCTCTCGAAGTGCTTCTAGAGTCTGAGGAGGACGTTGCAAATTGAGCTATCTTCTACACACCATATCCCACACGTGCTCAATTGGGGATAAGTCGGGAGATCTTGGTGGCCATGGTAACAATGTGACATCATTATGTTGAAAGAAGTCTATTGTGACTCTTGCAACATGTGGTCGGGCATTATCTTGTTGGAAAGTTGGATCTGCCAGGGTGTCAAGATAGGGTAAAAGATCTGGTTCTAGAACTTCGTGGATATAACGCTGCGCGTTCATGTTACCTCTGATGAAGATTAAAGGTGACCTGGAACCATAAGCTATAGCACCCCAAACCATAACTCCAACAGTGTGATGAACATGTCTTTCAACAAAAAACTGTGGATTCCTCCTTTCACCACGTCGCCTTCTAACCCTGACACGACAATCGTGCATGCCTAAACAAAATCGAGACTCGTCACTAAAGACAATTCTGTTCCATTCCTGATCCCAGAGTGACCGTTGTTTGCACCACTCAAGGCGATTACGTCGGTGTTCTCGAGTTAAAGGGAGGACCCAGTGTGGCCGGTATGAAAACAAGCCAAAACTTCTCATTCGTCGGTAAACACTACGCATGCCAATAGGTCTTCCGTGTTCTGCAAACCATTCTTTTGCAATGGACCTGGTAGTGGAGAAACGGTCCCTTAAGGCCAATAATCTTAGGCGGCGATCTTCACGGTCTGTTGTTCTACGGCGGCGTCCAGTGCCCCTTGCTCTTTGCGTACGGCCTTCTCGAAGCCATGCCTGACAACACCTAACCACAGTGTCTACACTTCTTTGCACTCTAACTGCAATTGCCCGAAAAGAAAGTCCAGCTTCCCGAAGTCCCACTATACGGCCTCTATCAAACTCACTAAGTTGACGAAATCGTACAGGTCTCCGTACTCTATGCATCGTAACCGATCGTAAAGGATGTCAAGAACCAAAATCCGCACAACGTTGATTCTTTACTGCGGCTGAAATATTCATTTTTAGAGCGTTAGTGAATTAAAAAAAAGCAGTATAAAAACCGGAATGTCCAACTGATAAGGCTGAAAATTTTTTCACTTGTTATTTACAGTAAGATAAATACATTCAATAACTTTTATTAAAATAAAACCATTCAAACTGGGTGTTCGGATTTATATGTCACTTAGTATACTTAGAAATTGAAAAAAATGCTATTTTCAAACTTCTCAAACGGTTCACAGAATTAACGGTATTGGGAGCGTATAAATATATGTTCTGAGATCAGAACATATTTACAACTCCTAACCCCCAAATTTCAACCCTTACAAAATTTTCTAAAAATGATCAGGACCCTCTAAAACGTCAAAAAACGAGGTTTCTGTGATTTTTATTTTTTTCGTTTTTAGGTTTTTTCTCCGCCGACGTTTAAAAACTACCAAGCTTTTTCATCATTTGCATAGTACGAGCCCCTTCCCACTTCAGTTGGCCCACTTCAAGATTTGTACCAAAATATGCCTTTATAAACTAAACATGAAACTATTTTCTTGTAGAACAATTTATTTTCTCAAAAACATTTTAGATACACTCTACAGAACATTTGAACAAATAAAGTTAACAAAGCAACAATTGAAAGATTACCATTGAGTAACATCACCTTTATTTTTTATTACGGTTAACCAAGTTTTGGCAAAAATTTGGTGTAAAACAATCCCATATTTCTTGAAGCTTTTGTCTCAGTTCGGTGATTGTACGAACAGAATGTTGTAGAACCTTTTTCATGTCGTGCCACAAAGTTTCAATAGGTGACAGATCTGGACTGCCATTTCAAAAGTGGCACGTTATTTTCTTCCATCCATTTTTTAGCCTTTTTTGAGGTATGGCACGCTGCACCATCTTGCTGAAACAAAAAATCTTGGCCGAATGTCAAACATTCTTCCATCACTGGTAAAAGCAATTATTCTAAAATTGCCAAATATTTGTTTGTATCCACATTTCCATCAATAAAATGAAGTTTTCCTACTCCTTTTGATGACATACTGCCCCAGACCATAATGGATGCTGGAAATTTCACTTTTCTCTTCAGATAGTCAACATGGAATTCTTCATTTTTTGTGAATAACTCTACTGCGGCTGTCACCAACAGAACCAACAGAATGGTTACAAACATTGTTGAAAATGGCCCCCTTCATTTAGTATGCATGCTTCCTCCCTCCTCATGGAATTGCGCGCTCGTTGAAATATCCCTGGAGTGTTTTTTATTCTATCACAAGCTGCAACTATTTTTTCTCTTAATTCCTCTACAGTGTTAATTGGACTTGTGTACACTAGTGTCTTAAGATAACCCGACAAAAAGAAATCTAAACTATCTAAACTATATAACTGAAATGCGCTGGTGTACCATCATGCATGTACCACATATTGTTAGAATGGGCCAATAAAGTGGTTTGCCAATAATTCTTGCCCATACGTTAACCGAAGATTGGTGTTGCAAATGGGTTTCGGTTACGGCATACGGATTTTCTTCTGCCCACAAATGATTATTGTGGAAATTCTGAATGGCATTTCGAGGAAAATTAACTTCGTCCGTGAACAGTATCATTGATTCAAATTGCGGATTTTATGTGATTTTTTGAAGATACCACTGACAAAAGGTCCCACGCCTTGCAAAATCAATGGGAAGTAATGCTTGTACTCTTAAAATATGGTAAGGATATAACAAAAAAACCACTAAAATTCGCCAAACAATTTCATGGCAAATATTTAAGTGTCTAGCGATCTTCTTCGTACTCGTTTCAAGATGTTCTTCGACTTCGTGCAGCACTGCTTACTCAATTTCAGGTGTTCTCACAGTTAGAGGTCTAACTTCAGATGTTCCTTTTCGGACAGAACCAGTTTCAACAAGACGACAATGAATATTAGAAAAGGTTTGACTATCTGGCAAAGCACGATCGGGATATCTCTGGTTATAAATCCGTCTGGCTTGCTCACCATTACCGTCGGTAAGGCCATATACGTAATGCATTTCCGCCATTTCTACATTTGAATAATTCACCATTATCAACAAGATTGTAAAAACTGAATAATGAAAACAGATTGGAATAACAGAGACTTGTCAGATGTCAAAAGCCAGTGACATATTCCAGAGCAACTAAGATATTTATTGCTAAATTGCATTCTTCAATTATTACATTAATTTTCTCGCACAATAGAACGGTTTTTATTTTTTTATTCGAAAATGGCGCATCGAAGGAAAAAAATTGAAGAAAGATCATTCATTTTAAATTGAACGGGGAATTCAAAAATAATTTTTATTTGACAAAAAACTATTGGCGTACCATTTTTTTCTTAAAAAATATCGAAATCAATACCCGTACGCGCGCCACTGTTAAAAATAAAAATTATTTTTGCATTGAAAAATATGCAACATTATTAACTTCACTACGTACCAAATATCAGCGAAATATCTGAAGCGGTTCTGAAAATTTCCATTTTTTCCTAAAACTTCAACACCCCGAGTTTTTGTAAGGAAACATTTTTGGGCCATAGTTTATTAAGCAAACTAACATTAATTTTTCGTGTAGATTCACACCCTCAAATATTCGCATATCATTAAGGAACACCCTGTAGAATATTATAAAAGATGAGGTATACGTAGAGTATGCAGAATAAAACAAACGATTATTTTTAAAAATTTTATTATAACATCATTGAATATTTGTTTGTACACAACTAAACAAAAAATACCTTATATTGTAAATAGCGTAAAACAAAACAATATCAATATATGGCGAAGCGCGAAGCTATATATTTAATATATCGATAGACCAATCAGAGTTGGCCATTGTAGAATAGGAACGTAAAAAATCGTGTGATCGTTCGAGGAAGCCTTTCAATTTCTTCCTGTTCCAAAATGACTACTTCCGGAAGTATTTCGATTTTGTTCGAATATGTTTTTTTGTCGGTGGTTGTAGTGATTTAGAGGAGTGATTCCGTTTTTTGCATTTTTTGTTTTTATTTTTATTATAAAAAAGAATTTCGATGAGCCTTCTATGTACTGGTTCCCCGCATAGAAAGTTCACCACTTCCAACCGTAGTCAAGTTGATGCGGTGTGTAATTATTTTGCCTTCATTCAAAAAACAGTACAAAAATTCTGAAAAATATGCGCCGCAAAGCGTTTGTTTAAACTCTTGCGTATTATGTGATTGTATAAGCTTTGTATACTTTGTGGACGTGTTACAATATCTGAATCATTCAGAAATCCTATCTTTCGGAATGTTACAAGTTTTTGATGCACAGCCCAAACTATAAGATTTCTGCATAGTTATTTTATTCTTCTCCATGTTCGGTATAATCTTCTTCTGCTGCGTTTTGGCACGGATGTCGGATGCCCCTCCCATAGCGTCATACTATGGACTTGTCTTCGGTATGTTGACAGAAGCATTAGGTTTTTTTGGTGATGGAGAAGGAGGTTAGGCCATGGTTAAAGTTCCGGCACCCATTCCGAAACCGACGCCCTTCGGACCGAAATTCCTACCGTAGCAACCTATCAAAAACAAAATAATAAATAATTATAGTTCGGTTGCGAATTGGAAGGCGGTAGAGAACTGAAAGTCTAAACATTCAAATGTTGAACAATTTTCTTCTGATCTATTTAAAATAAGATATACAGGGTGTCCCGAAAAAAGTGTGCAATATTCTACCAGCGGTTTCTAGAGCTTAAAATAGGAAGAAAAGTTTATATAAACATAGGTCGACAAACGTCCCCTAAGGGCGCTACGGTCTTTTAAAGGGGCTCCCCTGAAGATGGTTTTTCCTTAATATTTCAGAAACACGTTGAGATAAAGACATAAAATTTGGTATTCTAGCCTAGCTTTTATGCTGGATTTAAAAATATTAACAATTTTAGACAGTTTTGTTTGAAAGCGTATGTAACAGGGACGGACTCAGGTTATTTTAGCCCCAACATTTTTTGTGTGATTCTATTTTTCAAATTCAATTATAGAATTGGAAAATTTAGGGTTTTCTACATAAAACAGGCACTCTTATTGAATATCGATAAATTGTGCCATTTTTGAATAAAATAAAACTAAAGAATTTGTCACATGATAGGAAATGTACTGCGAATTTAAATGAATTGTTGATTATACATAGTTGGCCATGGCTACAAGCAAAAGTTATTTTGATTTGTTATGACTTATTTTGACGTTAAGCTGACATTGTTAGCAGTGTAATATTACTAGATTAAAATCAAATTTTTTATTAAATCGATTTAAAATGCCAAAATTTAAAGACAGAGAACTGACTGACATGCATTTTGTGTACGGGTTTTGCAATGGCAGTTCATTGGCAGCCGTAAGAGAATATCAAAAAATATTTCCCAATCACACCTGGACGTCGAATGTTTACTGATATTCACCGGAATTTGTCAAACCATGGAAGTTTTCAGCGCATGCAGGGCTCAGAAAGGCCACTGAAAAATCATCGTATGGATATTGCTTTAAATATTTTTGAAAATAATCCGCAAACAGTAGACAAAATTCGTCCAAAATGCGATTTGTAGAGGTTTGCGCGCTTCGAACTTGACGCTTTATTTTTTGGTATTTTTGGATGAAATTTTCACAGTGTGCTGAAAACAAAACCCCACAGGGTGCTATAGAGCCACTTTTTCATTTTTTACACTAGGTTCTTTTTTAAAAAATCGCGAAGTAGAACAAAAAAAGTGCGCACTTCAACCCATCATAAAACTTGTGCAAAAACAAAATTTCAAAAAGTGCTCCTATAGTACCCTGGGCAATTATCTTCTCAACATACTGTACTTGTATGAATTTCATTCAAAAATATTGAAAAATAGAGTGTCAGCTGAACCCTTGTAAATGGCTTGAAAGTCATTGCGTCGAAGCCGCCTTAAGCACGGTAGCAGCAAAGCAGTATTGCCTGAAAATAATTAATAAGCTAACCTCTGCAGTAGATCTCTCCGTCGGGTCCATCGTTAAGGGTGGTAGAATCCAAGCTGCGGTTACAATCGTGACAACTGAAGCATCTCTTGTGCCATTGGCCATTTTTGCTGATCATTTGTTCCGCCGCGTACACGGCATATCTGGAAATACGAATGATATAATCACATGTCAAAATATCTTGAAATTGTTAATGAGCATTTTTAAAAGGGTGACATACCCGCATCTCTTGCATCCTTGTCCGGGTGCGGCCTTCGGTCCGCTGTTGGGTCTGGGGTCGTGCACCGCCGGGGCCGTTCCGTCTGCGCACACGAGCGTGGGCCTGTGCCCGAAGCCGAACCCCTTAGGGCCGAACAGTTTGCCGTAGCAAGCGCGGCAGTGGATTTCGCGATCGGGTCCGTCGCAAGCGAGAACGCTGTCCAACGGACGATGACATTCGGCGCAGTTGAAACACTTCTTGTGCCACATCTGCAAATTCAATTCGTTATTTACACGGTGCGTGTTTGCAGAAGTCGAAAAGGATAACGATGACGTTTATCAGCAATAAAATAGGGAAGCAACGGCAAACATGAAACAATTTACACTTTTACAATCACAACAACGAAATAAAAAGATCTAGTGGAATTCCGAAAAGTGACTGAACGTTGTAGTATGCTTTGTTAATCAAGAAGCATTTTATTTTCTTTTAAAAAGCTCGTCGCTGGAACTGCATTATGAAACGGAATTCCGTGGTAATTAATACCGTTTCTAGTAGTTTGTAGACGTTGCTGAAGTAGTGCGTACCTGTGCGTATGTACACAAATGACGATATCTACGGATGAACGAGAAGCAAGTTAGCACGTATGGTGAGTGGCAACAAAGGTAAACACATACGTATGTTTATCCGATTTTAATAATTTTTGGCCCAAAGGGCTGCACGTGTTAACGTGATTTTTTTGCCAAACTTGTGTCGCCCTCGAAACCAAAATCGACGGGTCTGAGCGTTTTTCAAAAAAAAACTGAGCTGCCAATAAATGCGTCTGTTTCGTTTTCGATGCGCCACCCTGTATGTTCAGTGTCCCATACTAGTAAAAAGGTCAAACGGTCATATTCGGCGATATACCGTACGCATATCAACCATCCTTCCAACCTCTTCAAACCACTGATTGGCGATGGCTCGAGTACTGAATCTGTCTCTCAGACACAGAAGTCTTAACCGGCGGTATTCTCGCTCCTCGTCCAGAACCGCTCGCAGTATACATCGTAATGTTTCTCGGGGTAATAAAAATTTTCAATTTGAACTATGAAATGACGTACCGTGCCCTTGGCTAGCTGTTGTTCAGCAGCGAAAACCATTCCTCCGCACCTGGGGCATCCTTGGCCTGGAGGGGCCTTGATCGATGTCGTATCAGGATTGTAGAACGGACGACTCTGAGATATTTCGTCTTCCCTATGAAATTAAACCAGACGGTCATTAGCTTCACACGAAAATGAAGCAATTTTCGATCTCCATAATACTTACGTGAGTCCATCGGTCTGCAAGAATCCCGATCCGCACGCGAATCCGTAACCGTGCGGTCCCCATTTCTTGCCGTAGCACGTCTTGCAATAGACGTCTCCGTCCGGGCCGTCGCAAGCGTTGATGCTGTCCAATGTTTTCGTGCAATCGCGGCACTTGAAGCACTTCCTGTGCCACTGGCGGCCCTTCGCCAACACTTCCTCCGCAGCGAACACCACTCCGCCGCACCGGGGACATCCTTGGCCAGGTTTCGCCTTGATCGACGCCGTATCAGCAACGGTGGTCTTAGGAGCTTGATCGCTGTACGCGTTTAAGGATTATTTGAATAACGTGAGACACGTCGAATAAACATGTTCGAAAAGCACTTTTGAATTGCTGAGGCGGATATTTCGCCAATTTTGATTTGCTGACTGATATTTTTAAGCCACAACCATTACAAAATATCGTGAATAAAATGTGACGTGATCACGACTTTGAGAACTAGGTGCTTCATGGCAACGGCGAATGATATAGAATCACGGTGTTAACGTTTCAGTCGACAATCGTGTACCACTGTAAGTGTTACTATGGCCTGCAAGCGATATGTGAATACAGTTGAGTATCGTGACTTTCGACATTTTAATATTGACATCTTTGTGGCCTAGCTGACTGGACTATCATGGTTTACTTAATTAATCCGAACTAAAGACAGATGCGGAAATAAATATGTTCAATCTTAGGGTATTGCAAAAAGAGCGCGACACGGTCTTCCCCCAACCCCCCCTCTTTAAGCAGTACAATTTTTTTCTGTCAATGTTAAGGAACGTCAAAAACAGAGTTTCAGCAATTGTAACTTTTTCTTTTTTGCCTATAGCACCGTTGCCACTGGACTAAAACTACAACGCTCTGGCATACTAGTAACCCGGTGTGGAAATTTCATAAAAATCCGAGCGGTTATTTCCAAGTTGATGAGTGATACAGTTTTTCGAGATGTAGATGTTATACGACTTAAAAAAACATAACATCTTTACAATACTTCCTCGCCAATGACGTGGGAAGTAAAACGGCTTTAAAATCGAGGAGTATCAGCGATCGCGATTATGAGTACCTATTTGCAGAACGACTTATCTACGCGATATTATATGAGATAGGGCCACCAAATTATCTGAATACGTCCTTTCTTAGTACGTACATTGCGCCCCAATGCTTGGGTTGGCAGCACGAAACAGTAGACAAAATTCGTCCAAAATACGATTTGTAGAGGTTTGCGCGCTTCGAAATTGACGCTTTATTTTTTGATATTTTCGGATGAAATTTTCGCAGAGTGCTGAAAACAAAACCCCACAGGGTGCTATAGAGCCACTTTTTCATTTTTTTCACTAGGTTCTTTTTAAAAACATCGCGAAGTTGAACAGAAAAAGTGCGCACTTCAACCCATCATAAAACTTGTGCAAAAGGAAAATTTCAAAAAGTGCTCCTATAGCACCCTGGGCAATTATCTTCTCAACATACTGTATGACTTTCATTCAAAAATAATGAAAAACCGAGTATCAGTTTTGAAGCAGCTGAAACCTTGTAAATGGCTTCAAACTCACTGTGTTGGAGCCGCCTTAAAGTCATGGTCACGTCACGGTTTTAAATCACTTAGATCGAAAAGTCAGGATATCACATATCAAGAATATTCAAAAATAACAAAATCGGCGATCTCTAGTTTTCAGTATATGACAGAGGTCTACGATTCAAGACAAGCAACATTAATGACGATACAACATCTACCAAACGCATTCACAATTAATCTACTCATCTCATGTCTGCTTTAATTGTAAAGATACATTAATCATACAAGGACGATCACAATAAAGTAAAAACTATATTGTTTTGTACCTCTGCCATTGAGCATCTAAAGCGTCAGACATTAAGCCAAGGAAAAGCCCGCCAGCGTGTCCGATTCCTCTGGGACCGTAGCGTTGAGCATAGCAAGCTAGATGTAGCACAAAATCATTCAATTCAGTCTTCAATTGTTATAGCTACAAACGAGGGATTCGAAATTATCGAAGGGATTTTTGGATTCGGTCCGGAATCACACGCCTCGCTGTTGCGTCTAATATTGAATGCTCGTACGTAAAAACGTTTCATTCGATCTTTAAATATCAACTGAAAATTAGCTTGAATTTGAGTCTCATCCAAAAACCCCATGATGTCGACGAAAACGCAACATATTACCATTCTCTAAATTTGGACCGCGATATAAAGCAATATCAATATTTGAAAAGGAAATTCTCTTTTGAGCCAAAAGCAGCAGCTTTCGGCGAAACAGAGTAAGTATACAAATACGTAAGCGGAAATATCGTTTGATGAAAAGAGGCTGCGAATATTTTTAGTTAAATTGCACATAAATACATGATACGGAATCATTCGAAGTTTACTAATTTCAAGTTTATAGAAAGTAAAAATGTCGAAAGGACTTCCAGAATGGTAGCATGTTCGACGTGGAGGAAGTGACAAAGACGATAGCGAGGTGTCTGCGAGAAAAAAAACAACATATGTTACCTGACAGCGAAGCAGTCGCTTTGGAGAGTGCCACCACCCTGACCGTATCCGTATCCTTTAGGGCCAAACTTCTTGCCATAACACACTAGGACAACACAAACGATAGTTGAAACTCTCAACATTTATGATGCGATAAATCGTACTTATGATATACAGGGTGTTCAAGATGTGTTAAGGAGGACAACTTTTTAACCGAAAGCTACTTCCCTTAAAAATTTTAAATGTTTGAAAGGTCTTTCGAAGTCCTTTATTTTGAAGTTTGATTTTTTAAAATCTGCTTCAGTGATGAATGCGCATTTTATCTAAATGGATTTGTTATAAGCATAACTGCAGGGTATTGGCGTAATGAAAATACTCATTCTTTTATAGAAAGACATACCCAGTACCCCCAAAAAATTAATGTACGGACAAGCATTTTGGGAAACAAAGCGATTGAGCCGTTGTTTATTAATGGAAATTTGGATGGAGACATTTATTTGGTTATGTTGGAAAATACCATCAATACATTTATCACTGAAACCATTGACAACCAAAGAGGACGGAAACCCTTACTATACAGGGTGGCGCATCGAAAACGAAAACGCTCAGACCCGTCGATTTTGTTTTCGAGTGGGACACAAGTTTGGCAAAAAATGACGTTAACACGTGCAGCCCCTTGGGCGGGGGTGACAACAACCCTAAAATCTTAAATGGAAAGAGGGGTCGAGTGATACCTTATTTTAAAGGTATTGCAATTCCCTTTATAATGATGTAAAATTAATGTACTTCAGTTCAGTAGTTTTGAAGATTCATTGATTTAAAGCTTAAATAAAACTAATACATCATCATTACTGGAGATCAATACATTTGGCAGCAAAGTAATTTAAAAATGAAGAATGAACTGACCCGTTAGGCAAGTAAATGTTGAAAATGGTCACCATGACACTCATGTGTGGTCGCACATTGTGCAATATTTGAGGAGTAATTTGAAGGCACTCATTCACAATTCTTTGTCGCAGGTCTTCTAATGATGTTGGCTGAGTAGCATAGATTTTGCTTTTTAAATGACCCCACATGAAGAAATCCAAAGGTGATAAATCTGGCGATCTTGGGGGCCATTCAATGGCACCTCTTCTACCAATCCATCGATCTGGAAACGTCTGATCTAAATATTGTCGAACACGTAATGCGTCATGTGGTGGGGCACCATCCTGTTGGAACATCAACCTATTCGCAATGTACCGCCGATCATTCTGACGTTCAATTATGGCTCTTAATGCAGGATCTATGGCGTCTTCTAGTAATTCCAAATACATTTCACCGGTCAAATTTCCAGGTAAGAAAAAAGGACCAACTAAATGATCGCCAAAATACCAGTCCAAACATTTAATTTTTGTGGCTGCTGTGTATGAACCTCTGAGATTAGAATCGGACCAATATCGGCAGTTATGACGATTTACTACGCCATTTAAGAAAAAGGAACATTCGTCAGAAATGCAAGTGTTGAATAGAAAATGTTCATCGTTTATAATTCGTTCACTCATATTTTCATAAAATTGTAATCGCCGATCAAAATCGTCTTCATTAAGTTTTTGTACCAGGTGAATTTTATACGGATGAAAACTATGGGCCTTTAGAATCCATTGGACAGTACGTCGACTAACACCACACATAGTCTCCAATTTGCGGGTACTTAACGTAGGATCTACATAAACTTGCCCTAAAACCCCCACTTCTATTGCTTCGTTCCTTATGGGATTTTCAATGTTGCGTTTTTTATTGGCGACTGATCCAGTTTCCCGAAATTTAGCTACAAGTTGTAGAACATATTTTCGATGCATGTTACTGTTCTCATGTCGCTCATTAAATATTTCTGCTGTTCTATTAGCACACTGATTATTTCCGAAAAATATTTCGATAATTTCAACTCTTTCTGCTGTGGAATATACCATAGTTAATTTATGTAATAAGGCGTTACAAGTTATTTTAACAACAAAGTTCGGTCAAATCAATCGCAAATGTACTAAATTCCTATTTAAAATAAGTACGAGATATTTCCTTATCTTTCTTCAAGAAATAACTTTTTTGCCACAAAAAAACGCTACAATAGCTATTTTCAACAACAAAATGATAAACAAACCATGGACTTAGTGAAGAAAAGCATTTACTTATTAAGTAAATTCTTTTAGTCAAATTTCTTCTGAAAGTAGTACAAACTAATCTAATGTACCTATTAAAGTCTACTTTAAGCTTTAAATCAATAAATCTTCAAAACTACTGAAGTGAAGTACACTAATTTTGTATCATTATAAAGGGAATTGCAAGACCTTTAAAATAAGATATCACTCGACCCCCCTTTCCATTTAAGATTTTAGGGTTGGTGTCAACCTCGCCCAGGGGGCTGCACGTGTTAACGTCATTTTTTGCCAAACTTGTGTCCACTCGAAAGCAAAATCGACTGGTATGAGCGTTTTTCCCAAAAAAAATCTGATCTGTCAGTAAATGCGTCTGTTTCGTTTTCGATGCGCCACCCTGTATGTTTTCAACAAGACGGAGCTCCTCCTCACTATGTTCTTCCGGTTCGGGAATGGCTAGACAACGAGCTTGCACATAAACGGATAGAGCGAAGAGGGCCTATAGAATGGCCTATTAGATCTACTGATTTGACGCCATTAGACTTTTTTCTATGGAGCCATTCGAAATCTATCTCACCAGGAAGTTTGGACGAAGTTCGTCAACGCAATTGTTTGGTCAGTAACGGGCTACATTTTGAACAGTCATTGGATTAAAAGTGATATTTTCGTGTGTTTTTGTTTTCTATATGAACAAATTAAGATAAATAAAGATTTTTCAAATTTTCTTGAAAACGAATCGACCGACTTTAGAAAATCAAACGTCAAAATAAAGGACATGGAAAGACCTTTCAGACAAGCTATTACTGGATAGTCCTTGTCATTTAAAATTTTCAAGGGAATAACCTTAGGGGTCGACGGTGAATGGGGGTGAAGTAGTTTTTGATTAAAAAGTTGTCCAGCTTGACAAATCTTGTGACGTGTCTCGGCATTCTTTTTTTTAATCAATGGTTTTCAATAAATAGATTATGATAAAATTTGCGCTGATTTTTTTCAATTTGCTGAACTAACCAAGTGTCTCAGAATATGTGGCGTTTCTCTTCCGCCCATTTAGAATAAAGCCACTTGAAGCTGCCCTACGGTTAATCGATTCTCCGAATAAATCTCTGCCCCATATTAGCAAACACCCTGTATACGATGTAGGTGCCACATAAAATGTTAACGAGGTTCGGTCCACCCTTGTGACGGTAAATGGTTAGAAAAATGAGTAAAAAAACACACCTTTACAGTAGATGTCTCTGTCTGGTCCCTCGGTGACATTGACTGAGTCCAATCCCTTGTTACATTCACCACATTTGAAGCAGGTTTTGTGGAAGGCCTGTTGAAATCGCTGCTTGTAAACGGATACACACACAGACAGACACAAAAGTCTAATATTGGACAACTTGGATAATTTTAATTCGTACGTCATTCGTAGCAGAACAGCTAGACCAAAATCTAATTTATCTATTCAGGACGATCGTGGCAATATTTGTGGAATTGAATGCAAGTCAAAAAATATTGCAAAAAGGCGGATGCTAAAATGCTCCTTTAACGAGATTCAGGGTTTTGAAATATCGATTTACACTTCTGTACATGTGGTCACTATCTACGAGCCCCTTCCCACTTCAGTTGGCCCAACTATTGAAATCTTAGTTTTTTTTCTTATCAAACACAAATAGTAAAAATGTAGCAGGGTGTTATAGGTTTAATATATTAACAATGAATATTTTGATAATATACAGGGTGACTTCGAAGTTGAGTCATTTATTTTAACAGTGAGTAGATCTGATCTGATGTTTTTTTCCTTTACCATTTTTCTGGTAAAATTAAAGTAACAAAGTTATAGCCCTTTGGAAGTTTGAGTACCGCCCTGTCTCAATAATAATATTATGTGCTCGTGTTTGGCGACAACGGATATAATCCGCCTTATCGGTTCATCGCATCGGAAACAAAAAAGCGAAAGAATTTGGAACGATGTTTTTACAATTATTTTATTCACTTGTATACAGTCAGTGTCAGTCGGTAACGCGTGAGTGAATAGTGGTGTCTGGTGCGTGGCTCAAACGAAATAAAAAATGGCACATGTTTATGCGGATCGGTTTCCCAATCGAGTGCAACCAACCCCTCGTGCCTTTGTTAATGTAGTACAACGGGCTCGTGAATCAGGTGACGTAAGACCTCACAGGGGACGGCATGCCGGTGCTCCAAGACCTCACGATCAAATACAGGTCCGCACTGAAATACTTGTCGGGAGGATACTTTATTAAACAAGGTAAAGTTTTTTTTTAATTTTTTTTTATATTTACACATATTTTGGTTTATCTTCTTTCTACAATCATTATCTGAAAATTAATGACTCAACTTCAAAGTCACCCTGATGAAAAAGATTCTACAACAACATCCTGCTCGTACAATCACCGAACTGAGACAAAAGCTTCAAGAAATATGGGATTATTCCACACCAAATTTTTGCCAAAACTTGGTTAACACTATGCCTCAAAGAATTTCAGCCGTAATAAATAATAAAGGTGGGTGATGTTACCCAATGGTAATCTTTCAATAAATTGTTGCTTTGTTAACTTCGCGCATTTATTCGCACATTGTTTATTTGTTCAGATGTTCTATTAGTTATAGGTCTAATGTATGTATTTTTTACGACTAGAGTGAATCTAAAATGTTTTTGAGAAGATAAATTGTTTTAGAAGTAAATAGTTTCGTCACGTTTAGTTTATAAAGGCATATTTTGGTAGAAATCTTGAAGTGGGCCAACTGAAGTGGGAAGGGGCTCATACATGGTAACTTGTTTCGCGACAATTAGTTTTACTTGAATACTGACAAAACACATCTAGTAAGATTGAATAAATCCCAGCGGAATATAGGAATACCCAAAATAGTCCGTAATTCCTGGCAGACTGTCGCTTTTCAATATGACTAAATATATGGTTTGCGGGTTTTAGGATCTGCCGTCTCTCCTGCTACGGTAGAGATAATAACAAATGATAAATCCTACAATGTAGAACATCCAAATTGTCCAATATTATAATGCAATAACGTATACAATTATTGGTATTGTTGAAGTACGTAAGACGAGTATTACATTCCCTGACGAGTCACATGGAGCGGTACTTAATAGACATGCTGATACGGGGTATAAAAACTGCAACTGACACTGAAAAATCGGAAGGGGCATATTTTTTGTTTTGTTTCAAATTGAGTACCTCGACAGTATACCATTCCGTCGGCCCCGTCGCAATGTGACGTCGAATCCAACCATTTTTGACAGTTGTTGCAGCGGAAACAGTAACGGTGCCACCCCTAAACAGTAACAAGGGGCACATTTTAACATTAATCCATATATTAAAATTAGGTACAATTAATTCCAAAATCTCAAAATATCCATAAGTATCCCTTTTTCAGACGCTATATCTAAAGGGTGTTTCAATAAGGAAGCAATATTTCAAGGTTCTATTAATCATGATATTTCGTAATTAAAACGCACATGACAACAGCGCGTCGGTATTTCATCACTCTTATCGAACCGGCAATCGATCATAAGCGGTAACAGTGGTTAGTTATCGGGCATGGGGCCTGTTGTTTTGTTTTTGTTCGCGTACGTCATCGTGTTTATTTACAATGTTCTCGAATCAAGAGTTCGCCGACATGTTGTTAGTTTACGGTGAAGCTCGTCAGAATTCAAATCTTGCAGCTCAAATTTATCGCTACACATTTCGCCAACGGGTACACCTAGACAGAAGCACATTTGTGCAAGTGTACCAAAGATAGGTTACTGTAGAGCAGGAGGAACAAATTTTGAATATCGTGGAAATCAATGCAGATATCAGCACTCGGGAATTAGGCCGCCGCGTAGGACTATCGCATGTACAACGAGTGCAGGCCTTGTTACCAGAAGACTATCCTCGCAGACTAACATTCTGTCACTGGTTTTTGCACAAAAACATTGAAAACTCGGATTTTTTTTAAAACATTCTAGTGACAGACGAATGTACTTTTACGCTAGACGGGATATTAAATTTCCATAGTACTCATACGTCGGCCCAAGAAGATCCTCATACCATTCGTGAAGGTTATTTTCAACAACGTTTTAAAATAAATATTTGGGTGAGTATTCTTGACGATCGGGTAATTGGCTCTTTCAAGGTATCCCTAAAGTTGTCAAGAGAAGGATACCTTAGCTTTCTAGTCAATAACCTACCAGAACTTTTGGATCAGACCTTAGACAACATGCGATTACAACGGAGACAGAATTTGTGGTTTCTTCATGACGGGGCACCACCGCACATTTTTGGAGGCGTCATTCAGTATTTGAATGAACATCATCCAAATCGCTGGATCGGTCAAAATGCTCCTGATCCTTGAAAATGGCCAGCAAGATCTCCTGACCCCAATCCGATGGATTTGTGATGTTGGGGAGAACTTAAAGGGATGGTTTATAGGGCTGGTCCAATAACAACAAAGCGAAAAAATTTTTAATGCGGCTGAAATAATAAATGAACAACTTCGGGGACCTAGAGTAAGAAGAAACTGGGTTTGTCTTAATCAAGCTTGTAAGTATCAAAATTGTGTTTCCAATTTATAAGTGGATTTTTTAATACGTTCTATAAAGTTTCACACACCAAGTGTACCGCTGAGACAGTTAGTGGTAAGTCCGTTTTTTTAATTGTTTGCATTTTACGAGTACATTATCAAATATTGAAATAATACCTAAGAGCCAAAAATAACAAACTCCATCTTTATTTACACTGCGTTCTGTCGTAAAAATGCTGTTTTGACCCCCACGTTATATGAAACTTTTTGCTTCTTTCAACCTCTCCAATCACCCGTTTAAATAATGACTATCATATCTTTTTCACCCTGTATTTATTGGATTATGTATGTAACAACACATCAGGTAAATGTCTGGCTCAGCTGGCACAAGCGCAGTCCTTTAATAAATATTTTTGAACACATCATGTCGTGGTATCTCGTTTATACAGCGTCTGATCTGTCATGTCACAATCATTATGACAATATGACTGCCAAAATGGCGCTAAATTCAAATATTGCGTTCTTATTGATACACCCTTTATTATTAGATTGTTTAGTAAAGTTACTAATGTATAGCTCTTGCAGTGGTATTCATACTATATCCTTTCTAGTTTTCTGGAAGTCCTATTTCATTTCTTTCACGTTATTTTCTATTCTTTATTTAACAACAGATACGAAAATTTCTAAAACATCTGTTTTTTACTTATATGTGACCATTTTCAAACATGTGACCATACAGAATATTCCAAGATTTGCCGAAATAGGAACGGTGGTTATTGAGGTTACGTAATGACGAAGAAGAATCGTCGCCAGTCAGCGATGTCGAGACTAAAAACGATTTTCCAACTAGCTATTTTTTTTTAGGTAAAGGATATCTATTGTTCATTCCATAAAAACAATAATGACATGAATCACCCGGTACAATTACTCGATGCCATTACAAACTTTTTTTTTGATAACCTATTCCGAGTTCTTGGAAAAATGTCGGCATCTTTAGAAGCCATTTTCGCGAGAGTATTTTCAATATTCTCCTATAACTGGAGTTCCCTTTCTGTTGGGCATTAAATAATAATAATAATTATTATTATAATACCACCTTGTACCTGGTTCGGGCATACTTACTCTTCCACGTGCAAGCATCTGTTCAGCAGCATAAACGTATCCGCCGCATCGAGGGCATCCCTGCCCATCGGGTGCCTTGGCGATGGCTTTCGCCAGCAAAGGAGCCCTATTCACGACTATATCGTCCCTGCGAAGTCGTCGAACGATATCAACTAAGCTACAAAATGTTACACGTTTCATAAACACGAACGTCTGCACCTAATAAATCCTTTAATTATTGTCGATCGGTCTTCTGTTGTGCGGACTGAGATGACAGTAGAGAGACGGAAAGAAGTGATAATACTCGTACTCATAGACCTAGACATATTTTCGCAACGTCTCACACTTCGGGCACGAAGGCCGATAGAGAAAACGCAACAGTATCGAACTTTTCTACATGACAGAGAGTATGAAAGCTTTGTCGGTATATAAAAACGCATAGTTTGAAAGCAAGATTAATTTGTTTGTAGTCTATAAACTGTGGAATGATTCTGTCAAGGGCATGTGTTGGCCAAACCTGGCAGGTTACCACATATCTCGTTGGAGTATTTAGTCCTTTAGCGTTTCCAAAAAAAAATTATAACAGTTTAATTTATCAAAAAATGTATGTATACCGGCATCATTAACTAGGTCTATGAGATCGTTTCCTGGAGAAGGGACAAATAATATGCCAGATGGAGTCGCACAACTGGTCCAGGCAGATTTTTGGCTGATTCTTGGTCCTGATCAAACCAAAGAATAGAGAAAGTAAAGAAGAAGAGAAAGGAAGTGCTATGGAGTATTTCGTGTTTATAAAAGTGTAGAAAAAGGAGGTCTTAAGCATCAGCGATTAAGCGGTTAAGCAGGATCTTTGTGATAGAAGGCTTCAAATACAGTGGACCTCCGATAATGCGGCTCCTGTCTAATCCGGCGCCCCCTGTAATCCGACATGTCTTTGAACATGTGTTACATACATACGTACGTATTTGACAATCTTCGCTAATGTAGATCACGCAGGTTTGAACAGGTTACAGCGGCCTAGCGTGCGTCCATTGTTTACTATTTATTCATTGTGTATTAAGTATAATACCTAGTAATGTCATCACAAACTCAGAAACGAAAGCACAAAACATTGACAATTAAAGAAAAATGTGATAGTTTAGACCGCTTAAATCGCAATGAAACTTTCAGTAGTTTAGCAAGTGAATACGGCGTAGGTCGGTCTACAATTTGTGACATTAAAAGAAACCACGAGAATATCAAGATGTTCGTGTCAATTACTGACTGCGGGCCAGGCAAGAGACAGACACTCAAGAAAGCTGAACATCCAGAAGTGGAAGAGGCTTTGTACAAATGGTTTCTTCAGGAAAGAAAGAGGCATGCACCAATTTCAGGACCCATGTTGGCCATGAAAGCTAAGTTTTTTTATAAGGAATTAACAAAAAAAGATGATTTTGTGGCCAGCAAAGGATGGCTAGAACGTCGTCATGGCATGCGTTTAATAACTATTACAGGAGAGAAACTTTCTAACGATGCCACCTGCATAGAGCCCTTTAAATTAAGATTTTTGCAAAAGGTGAACGATTTAAACCTTGACCCGTCGCTGGTGTACAATGCAGACGACTCAGGGCTTTTTTGGCGTGTGATACCTAACAAAACTTTCTTTTCTTGTAACGAAAAATCCATACCTGGACGAAAAGTAAGTAAAGATCGTGTAACCATACTACGATGTGCTAACGCTGTGGGCACACACGCGCTTAAGATGATGGTCATTGGGAAATCTAATAAACCACGGGCATTCAAAAACATTGATTTATCTTACCTGTACACTATTAAGGACAGAAAAGTGCGTGGATAACAAAAGACCTTTTCAAAAAGTGGTTTGATGAATGCTTCGTACCTGAAGTTAGAAAATGTTTAAAAGGTCATAGTTTTCCTCAAAAAGTGTTGTTGCTTCTTGATAACGCTCACGGTCATCCGTCTGAAGAAGAACTAACAACTGAGGATAAATGCATCACTGCGATGTTTCTTCCGCCAAATTGCACTGCACTGATTCAACCGATGGACCAGAATATCATTCAGTATGTCAAGCAAGACTATACGAATAACCGACTTCTGAGAGCCGTATCAAAAGACCAACCAATAGAAAAAACTAATTTAATATGAAAGACTTGGTTTTTGCTCTTTGTCAGTCGTGGAATGCGTTACTGTCATTAACTAATAAATCGTCTTGGAAATAGTTATGGCCAGATATAGTTACCACTCCTAGCAACGTTCCACAAATCAGTGTAACTTCGGAAGTTATAGAACAAGTCGCTACAGAAACACAGATAATTCCGGAAGATTTGGAAATCTGGTGCCGTGGAATGGATAAAGAGGAAAATGTTTTTCATGAAATGTCTGACGAAGAGCTTATAAAAGAGGTTTCTAATTATACAACAAACAATCAGGAAAATAACGTCGACGTGATTGCAACTGCTCCACAAGTCACAGCACAAGACGCAATTAACGCCTTTGAGCTAGGTTTACAATGGGCTGAAGAGAATGGTACATCCTACAACGAACTTTTACTTTTGAGAAGACTGAGGGACAAAACTCCGATCTCGCGTTATAACAACCTTAAACAAACAAAAATTGATGAATATTTCCAAGCTTCATAATTTGATAAATTCATTAATGATTTTGATTAATAAATCTTGATTATTTTGGTACATATGTATGTCCATTTATGCTTAATTTTATAATAAAACGTAAGCTCTCTATTGTTATTTAATTTACTAAATTCGACATACATAAACTATGTATGATTTGTACTTCAAAGTACATACATATACATAACATATACAATCTTACCATTGGATATGTAAATTGTCGGATTACAAGGTACTCTTTTGTAAAAGAATTCCGGACTATAGGGGGTCATAGGCAGTGATCTATAATCCGACAAATTCGATAGTCCGGCTGTCCTGCATAGTGTTTGTCGGATTACCGGAGGTTCACTATATATGCTTTCATTTATATTTTTTGTCCTTAAAAAATCTCTAGGCGTATTGTTCGGATGAGATAAAATTACGCACAAGTTTAATGTGTAGTAGTGTTCCGAAATACCTCGGGTTTGTGCGGATAGAAAACATAAAGATTGGAGAGCAAAATGTGCCTAGATTTCAAGATTCCATAGCATGTTTATAAAATAAATGCGACTGTTGTTTCATAATGATAAAATACTTCGTTTAATTTAAATGTTTACTAAAATTTATCGGTGTGTTTGCTGTCATTCCGAAAGGTCGTCCGAAATGTTATTTTTATATGTTATTTTGAGGTGAAACATCATAGAAACAAGAATTTTAGAGAGGCTCGATCAAGAGAAAATTGGCAGCGGAGGCTATTTCGGAACAACCTACGCATTCCTGTACGATTTGCTAACGAAATACGACTTGTCCACATATGCGAACAGCGCAGCTCAAATTACGTAAGATTTGTGAGTAGAAGCGGCTGTTTTCAGAAACCTAAAAATACGCAGCGCATTGCTTCAGAGTTAAAAATAGATATACAGAGTGTCCTATTTTTGAGGCTTTCTAGTAAATGTACGCTGTTCTTTGTAAAAAAAACAAAGGTGACTTTAGCAGCTCTTAAAATATTTTTTTAAATAAACTCGCAAATATATGTATAAGGAAAATGGGACACCCTGCACACCACAAGTGGATACCTAGTCTAATATGTGAGTAGAAGCTGGTGTGTTTGTGTGTGCTCGACAAACCTAAAAATACGGCACAGTGCATGACAGATAAAAATAAATGTACAACTGAATGCTGAAGCTGCGGAGGCTGTGGAAATTAAAGAAAACCAAATGCGGAAAAATGTAACAGGAGAAGGTTATTCAGGGTTCCGGTACATCTCTATAAATATGAAATTGCTCTTCGGTATCGCAATATAGATTGAGGTTCAGTGGAAACTTTGCCTCATTCTTGTTTAACAAATAAAGGCGTCACCGTTATTATTGGCACGATTAAATTTGAGGGAACTCTCCTTATCCCACTACTTTTGGGTTAGGAAAAAATGTTAAGTATAAACAAAATATGTAACTATCTAGGCTGTTAATAAATGCGGGATAGCGTTTATATGCCTGGCCATGCTATTATGTATACATCGTCAAACTCTCACCGTTTTTTTTTCTCGTTTGGTCTATCGGAGACATGCCATTCTTTTTTTTGCGTTAACCACAACCCTTCTTTTTAACGCTGATGTGTCATTTTATTTGTTTCAAACTAAATCGTAATACGTAAAAGGATGGGCTGTGGCGATAAGGTAGGGTAGAAGGGTGGGGGAAGACAACACAATATTCGGAAAACGTTGAAAACATTTACAATTTAAACAATAGAATAGAACAGGTTACAGTAATAAGGTATGGTTGTATGTCTTCAGCTATATTATAGTATATAGTTTCTCAGTAAGACTCTATTTAGTTACATATAGACTACAGAAAGAAAGGGTTTGTGTGTCAGAAAAATACAAATTCTACAATGATATACAAGGATGATAAAACGATGTAGAATTTGAACGAAACAGCGCAATTTTTGATTCAAGATTCCGATACAACGATTTCTTTTTATCCAGTCCAAGTTTTTCGAATATTGCGTCTTCTCTAGAGAGAAACGCGTCGACTATTCAATTTTATCTGATTTATTAAAATCCAACTATTACAAAATAATCGAATCCACGTACTTGTATGTAAAAATTAATAAATAATAAATCCTAAAAAAATATTACATTAGTGTTGTGTGGTGGGAGTGGAACTGATGTAAGAAGAAGATAGGCAGCCGCTGGATTTGTGTAAGATGGGCTTTGGTATGGCTGCCGCCTGCATTTTGCCGCTTTTTCCACCCGCAGAATGAGTTCGTTTAGTTTCTGAATGGACAAGGCAGAAAAGGGAACATCAACGGACGCATCTCAAAACACAGGCCGATCAACAGAGATTTCGAAGAAAGATCGCACGTTACCGATTGTACTGCATTTTGTGCGTGTGATGTCTATGTAAGTAAACTACTGAAATTATTCTTATCGAATGTTGGCCTCATGGTAGATAATGCAGATATTAGTGAAGAGAGAGACTTTCTGAGCCGTATGCAATCGACATTTGTTTTTTTTTTGACCGGTGCTATATTCGATTCCATGCGATCTTTCTTGGACATCAACGAGATTTGTTGATCCTCTGTTTGTTGGTGTGATACGTACAATTTCGGCATCGGCTTTCGAACCAAGCAAAACACTTCTGATTAGCATTAAGCAATAATTAATCGTTGATTTCTTATTCCGGCATTACCATATTAGACACATTTTCGAGGCAAAATAGCCCAAAAAGTCCACCCCCCAGTGATAGCGAATACTCGCCGAGGATCTCATTTACCTGCCCTTTTAAGTATTTTCTGTGGCGTTTCTTTTTATAAACATTGCAATACACGTTTTTCTGTCCAATCAAACCGCCAATTCTTCTTTATTGTCTATGTTTTATTCCCAACGATCTCCATCTTTAGTACAGTTGTCACTTATACAGGGTGCGGCAGAGAGGATGGACGGTTTTAAAAAAATCATAAAATAGTTAATTTTACTCGAAAACAAATTTATTGATGGAATCAGGTTCACAAGGAATTAGCATTTGAGACAGTCAAGCGTGGAAAATCACATCAGACATGTGGTGGCCGAAATCGTTGATGCAGAGCTGGAGGCGTTCTTGGAAGTTCGCGTAGACTCTCTCCAACATCGCTCTCTCAACTTGGGCGACTTCCACGCGAATTTCGCCCTTCAATTCGTCCAGAGTTCGGGGCTTGTTCGCATATACTCTAGCCTTGAGGTGTCCCCATAAGAAAAAATCGCATATGGATAAATCTGGGGACCGAGGAGGCCAATGAACATCGCCAAACCTGGAAATAAGGCGACCAGGGAAGAGAGGGCGAATAACGTCCATCGATGCTCGGGCTGTGTGGGCGGTCTCCCCATCCTGCTGGAACCACACACGTCGGATTGGAACACGTCGTCGTCGTAATTCAGGGAGAAAGACGTTGGTGATCATGTCGACGTAGCGCACTGAGTTCACGGTAACATCACGACCATTACCGTCTTCGAAAAAGTAAGGGCCAATGATGCAAGTTTGCGATACAGCGCACCAAACCGGGTGGCTGTGTAGCGGTCTTTCGTGTAACTGTTGCGGATTTTCATTAGCCCAATAACGACAATTCTGCTGGTTAACCATGCTGTTTAGGTGAAAGTGGGCTTCGTCACTCATAAACAAAATGAGGTTCTCATTTTGATCGATCAGTGCTTCCATCTCACGTGCGAAGTTCATTCGTTGTGCATAATCTCCGGGCTGTAACTGTTGCACAATGGCCAATTTGTAGGGGTGAAAGCGGAGATCCATATGCAAAATTCGCCTTACGGAACGATCACTAAGGCGAAGTGCAGCAGCATGTTTCCGGGCAGATCGAGTCGGACTGCGAAGAAAGACCTGTCGATCGCGTTCAACATTTTCAGAAGTTCGAACTGTTCGCGGCGCTCCTCTTGGTCTTCTGTTGATCAGTTCGCCACGGCTGCGAAGTGATTCAACCCAACGAAGGATGGTGTTTCGAGAGGAAACAGCTCTATTCCGATGAATGTTGAAGTGGCGACGAAACTCACGCTGTACGACGATGACTGACTCATTATTTCGGACGAAACAATCATAGGCGAAAACGTGGTGCTCTTACGAGTCAAACGGCACCCTCCCCACCTCTCTCGTAGAAGGAGGCGGAGGGTACTACCCAGCCCAAAAACGTCCGGCCTCTCTGCCGCACCCTGTACAATATGTTTCACTTATTTGTCTCAAAATATATTGTCAAAAACAGTGCCAATTGTACTGAACAACTTCGCCGAAAAGTATACAATAAAGAAGAATTTTAAACAAATGTGGTTTGATTGGCCCGACAAATATGGTAGATTAACGATATGAAAACCACAGTATGAGTTTCAGATGTTACATTTATTATGTCCCCCTTAACAAAAGGCAGGTACCCTCTTGTCACTTTTTTACAAAGATTCGTTTGCGTAAGTGTTAGATATGCTTAATGCAATCAGATGTATTAGCTTGCGATTAAAGGCAAGAACATAAACATAACAAAAAAACCAAAACAAAAACATAGAACAAAAAAAGAAGAGATAAGGAAAGCCCTCAATCTGAAAGACGTTAAGTGAAATAGCCTTCATAACCGATACCCGAATTTTTCTTAGAGTATGTTGTTAGCTGGGCTCAATCAAAATTAGGCCGCCACTATTTTTGTCATTCTTGTGGCTATCGCGAAAAATCTGCGTGTTTCGGATAACAACAACGCCGTAACTATGCAATATTAGAGGCATAAATTGTCATTCGATGCATTTTCACTTATACAATAAAACTCATACAAGGTTACGCTTACCTAGAATATATCAAATTAAAAATTCTCTATTCCCGTTTTCGAAGGGGCTTGATTTTGATTGAGCGACATGCTGAGTATCGCTATATCAAATAACAAAGAAATCAGCAATGTTTGAGTTGTATGGCTGTGATAGAAAAATTGTTACACAGCTTCGTGCATTCCGCATTCCTTGCGTAAATGATACGGCGGAATGACCTGTGCTACTGAACCTTGTGGCGGTCCGTAAAATAGGCATGCGGAATGCTTTTCTAGCTGTAGATTGAAGGAAGCGTCGATATTATAGAGTGACAAATGGTGGTCATTCGAATCTTCACCGAGTTGGTCACTCCAGAATATCACTTGTGAAGAAAGTTATTGAAATTGTTGGTTTAAGAAAGAAGATAGTGTGGTGGTCTATTCGCGTGTACAAGGCGCGTATTTGATAGTACTCACCCTTGAAGGTGAGCTCCGGTGTCCATGCTCAAGCAGCCGGCACCACCGCCAAAACCGTACCCTTTAGGGCCGTACTTGCGCGCGTGGCAGTTCTTACAGAACAGTTCAGCTTCGTGCTCGGTCACGTTGGTAGAGTCCAACATCTTACCGCACATTCCTGCAAATATGTGCAACTTAGTCAATAACAACTAAATAGACTATACAGGGTGGCGCATCGAAAACGAAACAGACGCATTTACTGGCAGCTCAGGTTTTTTTTTTTTGGAAAATCGCTCAGACCCGTCGATTTTGTTTTCGAGGGGGACACAAGTTTGGCAACAAATCACGTTAGCACGTGCAGCCCCCAAAATCTTAAATGGAAAGGGGGGTCGAGTGATACCTTTTTTAAAGGTCTTTCAATTCCCTTTATAATGGTATAAAATTAATGTAGTTTTGAAGATTTATTGATTTAAAGCTTAAATAAAAGTAATTCATCGTCTTTAGTAGAGATCAATACATTTGGCAGCAAAGTAATTTAAAAATGTAGAATGAACTGACCCGTTGGGCAAGTAAATGTAAAATTTGAAAAAAATGTATTCTTAGTCGTTTCAAATTGCAGATATAAGCTTCGTGTTATATGACACCTAAATTTGTAACAAACATCTTGTAGTAACTTGAAATCATCCGAAAGAGAGCAACGATCAGCCAGTTTATTCATGCACTTACCGCATTTGAAGCATGATTTGTGGAATTTGTATCCACCGGCCACACGTTCTTCTGCGGCGTATACGGATTTGCCGCATTTCGGGCATTTTGGGTTATCTGCTGGCTTGAAAGGCATTTTTATGATCTATTTGGTCGATCTGAAACAAACGTACAATCTTAATTCGTTGTTTTAATGATCGAAAAACTCTCAAGTATTCTTCCGACCGCCTTGCACATTTAACTTGTGTACGAGTGCAAAAATGCGCATTTATATGCCATATAAATTAAGATTCATCCTTGTGTTTTCTCTGTCGGCTCCTATTAAAATACTTCAGTAAAGCAAAATCTTTCTTTCCAAAAATTTCCAAAATTAATAATTTTCCAATAATTTTCAAACCAATTTTTGTACAAATTTCAAATCTTGTTCCAAAATTATTGGTAAAATGTAGGTTAAAAAATTCCAAAATAATTAATAAGCGGATTTCCGAATTTGCAGCGTTTTTTCCAATTTTTCAAAAATCAATTTACCCATGCTGGGCTAACAGTGCAAAGTCGAATTTTTTGAAAAACTCCCCCAGCCGCTAGTAACTGAGAGAATTCATCGTATTAAGATTCCAAAAATACAACAGCGCTTTTCGATCTCTTGCATTCGGCAATTGAGCATCCTATATTATTATTAATAAATATACAGAAATGAAAGAGACAGCTTTTTAAATTTTATAATCCTGTAGAAAATTAAAATATTGTGTATGAATCTGTCTTTCCTTTTATAAACACAATGTAAATATATTTGGTATGTCTGTAACTTGGCGCGAATCCAATCCATATAAGGACAAATTTCGCCGAGCATCACTGTTTCTTGGACTTGACCTACTGTAGCGTTACTATACAATAACAAAAGCTCCATATAAGTATCTACAGGTCTATTTGGTATTCCATCTTGATTCATCATTTGCGACGAATCTCCATAACTGCAGATATAGTTATGGATTCGTATCTCATAACGTGAACGAATTGACAGGGAAATCGAGGGATTTTGTGACAACTTTTTATAGACTGTTAAACACTGATCGTTACTATGCCTGAATACCAAAGCGGAACAGATCACGTTTACACATGGAGCGATATTTCTTTAATATGCAAGATATGATATATATTATATTATCGCTCACCGTCCTTTGACAGCTTTACGTTACTGCTAGCGCGAAAAACGAGTTAACAATGGCGTACGATGTGTTTTGCTACACTTTTGTGTTTCGGTACCAGACTGTAATCTGTCCGCACACAAGCGTCTTAGAAATTCCTGATGTCAAACGATAAGCTTTGATGATTGGCCATGAATATAGATTTTTCAGAAATGGAAAGGTTTGTGTCTACTATTAAAGAAGTATGTTAACGTTAATAGCGGCAACAATTTAATGACCACTATTCACAAAACCAAAAAAGGCGTTTCGTATTCACATATTCGTTTTCTAAAAATCAGATGAATAAGTCAAGGATAGTTCAGTATTCGCTACCTAGCTACGAAGTTTAGCTTGTAATATTATTTACAGCTAAACTGAAATTTATTTTTTTTATCCGAAAAGCAATATTGAAGGAATTTATTGTTTTTGATCACTTTTATCACTGGTTTCAATGAATATACTTATGCCAGACTCACCTATGTATGGAAAATTGTATAACTAGCCATATCAAGAGAGCTTATTCCCTAACACCGATAAAAATATTTGTATTATAGGAAATTATTTGTGTAAGTACATAAAGATAAGTAGAAACATTTTTCGTGCCGAAATTGTACGAAACTCTTTGAAACTATCTAGGTAATTAGGAAATGATTTTCTTGTACTTAGATTGTATGAGCAGAAAGGACATACACTTTTTTAAGCAATATTTAAATTCAATAGGTAATAATAAGGCAATAAAAATAATTGGACAATCTTGGAGCTGTCAAAGCATTGAAAGAAATTTTCATGGGTTAAAATAGAGTTTGATACTATGTCTTTCACTGTTCTTTGTGTACTTGCACGTGTAGCTCCTTCCGAATATAATCGTTCACAAAATCCCATTCTCCATTTCTCTGTATCGTATCCAATTGCAGATGTTCACCAATCACTTGCGTTTCACTTTGAAAAACCGCGAAAATGCAAAAACGTCCAAATATGGCGTGGCTCGTCTCAGTTGGCTGTGCGCCAATGGCGTAACACAAAACACGCGCTAAATATAGAAGGGTGGTGCTGGTTACCGATTCGAAGTTGGCACCTGTCCAAATATGGCGGGCGGCGCGATATTGAGGTTATGTTCGTTCGTACCTGTTCGTTAAATTAGGGTCGCGGTTGGCGTCGTGGAAATATGCGGACCTCCTCACTCTGTTATCTCACCACTACAACCAGTTGGAATCGAGTGACTCGGCGAGAGGCAGGGGGCTCCTAGTCTATCCGGCGAGAACGTTGCGCACGGCCCCAAAGATGCGCGAGAGTAGGGCGACACACCTCAACACGACTCAATCATAGCCGTGGTATTTTCGGAAAATTTTCTCAAATACTCTCTCTTTGCTCTTCTAACAGACGGTGACGTAGTTTACATATCATAATCGTAGCACAAACATAAGGAAGTTATAATCACTGTTTAAATTAGACGGTTTACAGACATAGACATACCACAAGTTAAGCAACTCTTAGCGTCTTATGTTGGACCAGTGACATTACGCTAATTCCGTAGAGCGAATTTTTTTCTCTTAATGGAAATCAACTGACGTTGACGGAAGTGGAATGTGACAGATTACTTTTTATTTTACTTTATTGAATAACGTTCGTTAATTTGTTTAGCAAACAGTTTAATTAAAAATAAGCTCATGAAACTTCTTAAAACACACAAAACATCATAGCGAAAAATGGCCAAGTGGGTTCGCTCTGCACCTCCTAAACGATGCCGTCGTTTCATAAAGCGCAATTCACATTCTCGGACACGTAACTGATAGTTCCCGATTATGCGGCAACGTTGCCCCTTTTCACATTCGCGCGGCATCACTTTATTAGTTTTTTTTAAGCTTTAAATCAATAAATCTTCAAAACTACTGAACTGAAGTACATTAATTTTATATCATTATAAAGGGAAGTGAAAGACCTTTAAAATAAGGTATCACTCGAGCCCCCTTTCCATTTAAGATTTTAGGGTTGGTGTCACCCCCGCCCAGAGGGCTGCACGTGTTAACGTGATTTTTTGCCAAACTTGTGTTTCCCTCGAAAACAAAATATCAACGGGTCTAAGCGTTTTTCTTTAAAAAAAACTGAGCTGCCAGTAAATGCGTCTGTTTCGTTTTAGATGCGCCACCCTGTATATAGTTGAGTCATTTATTTTAACAGTGAGTAGATTTGATCAAAAGAAATGTTTTTTCCTTTACCATTTTTCTGGTAAAATTAAAGTAACAAAGTTATAGCCCTTTGGAAGTTTGAGTACCGCCCTGTCTCAATAATAATATTATGTGCTCGTGTTTGGCAACAACGGGTATAATCCGCCTTATCGGTTCATCGCATCGGAAACAAAAACGCGAAAGAATTTGGAACGATGTTTTTACAATTATTTTATTCAGTTGTATACAGTCAGTGTCAGTCGGTAACGCGTGAGTGAATAGTGGTGTCTGTTGCGTGGCTCAAACGAAATCAAAAATGGCACATGTTTACGAAAATGCTGAACTTGTGGACATCATTCTTATTTACGCGGCATCACGGATTTATGCGGATCGGTTTCCCAATCGAGTGCAACCAACCCCTCGTGCCTTTGTTAATGTAGTACAATGGACTCGTGAATCAGGTGACTTAAGACCTCACAGGGGACGGCATGCCGGTGCTCCAAGACCGCACGATCAAATACAGGTCCGCACTGAAATACTTGTCGGGAGGATACTTTATAAAACAAGGTAACATTTTTTTTTATTTTTACACACATATTTTGGTTTATTTTCCTTCTACAATCATTATCTGAAAATTAATGACTCAACTTCAAAGTCACCCTGTATACCAAGATGCTCACCCGTATAACTATTTTATTATTGAAGAATAGAAAAACGAAATTTGATGATTGCGTATTATAGATGAATTTACATTTTTAGACATATTCACTTGCTTTGAAGTACTTCCGGTTCGACCGGAAACGCCTCCAACTTTCGATTTTTAAATGGGACAGCCTAGTAAAATGAAAAAATTAGTGTTTGTAACTTTTAGAAAATCTCCAAAGTGACTGTAAGGTCATACGCTTCAAAATCGTATTTTTCCCGTGTTACTTAATCAAAAATAGAGCGATTTAAAGGATCCATGGCATTCTAGATCGAAAAATGAAAATTGAAATAAAAATGATTTTGTCAAATGTTGACAAGTGAGGCGTTATTGAGTTCAGAATGTCATTCTCGATCGAAATAAGTAAAACTCTTGAAAATGACGAAATGCTCGGCATGAAGGAAAATTACGCATACTCCGTGCCTACCGATTGGTATCAGTGTGATCTTCTGAGACAATACATTCTATCCAGAATTTTATAATCGTACCGGTGTTTTCAATATTCACCCCTGAGGAATACTTAACGCTTTTGATTGAACTTCAATGAGATTCTTTGTTCAGTGTTAGTGCATTTGCTTGACTATGTTTTCATCGATTAAAATCGTGTCTAAAGTGACCAGTCTAAATTTGAGAGCGAGTCTGAGCATCACAACTGCCTCTCTAGGAGCCACTGAGAACGAACTATTTTGAGCGAAGTTGACGCGTCGTCTGTATCATCTTCGATACCACCTTGCCGTCGCTGCAGCTTCTATCTTCCTGGCTGCCCTCTTGCACCTCGCCTTCCGCCCGAGAAACCTGACACCGAACGCCGCTCTTTATCATTCTTAAGATTTCTCTTCAAACTGTACAGATTCTTTAAGGTTGCTCAAAAAAGAGGGTCAAAGGCATCCAAACAATTTGATGGCAAATATTTAACTGTCTAGCGATGTTCCTCGTACTCGTTTCAGGATGTTCTTGGACTACGTGCAGCACAGCTTCCTCAATTTCAGGTGTTCTCACACTTAGAGGTCTACCTTCAGATGTTCCTTTTCGGACAGAACCAGTTTCAACAAGACGACGATGAATATTAGAAAAGGTTTGACTATCTGGCAAAGCACGATCGGGATATCTCTGGTGATAATTCCGTCTAGCTTGCTCACCATTACCGTCGGTAAGGCCATATACGTAATACATTTCCGCCATTTCTGCATTTGAATAATTCACAATTATTAACAAGATTGTAAAAACTAAATAATGAAAAAGATGTCACAGCGAACAGATTTGAGACTTGTCAGGTGTCAAAAGCCAGTGACATATTGCAGAGCAATACTTACTCAAAAATGGCGCATCGAAGGACAGCAACTCAAGAGAGATAATTTGTTTTAAATTGAACGGGAAATTCAAAAATAGATTTTATTTTACAAAAAATCATTGGCGTACCATTTTTTTCTTAAAAAATATCGAAGTCAATACCCGTACGCACGCCACTGTTAAAGCTAAAAATTATTTTTGCATTGTAAAATATGGAATTTTATTAACTTTCGCTGGGTAAAATATCTGAAGCGGTTCTGGAAAAACTAATTAATTTCTATTTTTTCCTAAAACTCCTACACCCCGAGTTTTTGTAGGGAAACATTTTTGGACCATAGTTTATTAAGCAAACTAACATTAATTTTTCATGTTGGTTCACACCCTTAAATATTCGCATATCATTAAGGAACACCCTGTACAAAGGGCGATCTATCTGATGGTTCATTTTTAAATCGATGGTTAAAATGAAAACGCAGAGTTCTTTTTCCAAACGGGTTTATTTATTTGAGAGTACTATCCTTCCGGTGAATGATGGAACATAATCTCGTTCATATGCGCGTCACGGCTGAGCTTCACGTAGCCGATCCTGTCGACCCAATTTTTCAGTACATTTGCTCTCACAAATGGCTGCATGAATGTTGGCCTTAAATGCTCAATCGTCGCTGGGGCATTCTCATAGCATTTATTTTTTACGCTTCCTCACAAAAAATAATCCCACGAAGTTAAATCGCAGTTTCGCGATGGCCAAGTCACACCATCAAAACGCCTGATAGCGCGATTTTCGAACTGTTATTGAAGAAGAGCGATTGTCTCGTCCCGTTGGAACCACACGCCATCCAAGTCTTTTTATCGGTTTCCGGAAAGAAATACTTATTCAGCATGCTTCGATTGCGCACAGCAATGACCGTGACGGTGCGTCTTTCGTCATCTTATACAGGGTGACTTTGAAGTTGAGTCATTAATTTTTAGATAATGATTGTATGAGTAGAAGAAAGATAAACCAAAATATGTGTGTAAAAATAAAAAAAAAATGTTACCTTGTTTTATAAAATATCCTCCCGACAAGTATTTCAGTGCGGACCTGTATTTGATCGTGCGGTCTTGGAGCACCGGCATGCCGTCCCCTGTGAGGTCTTAAGTCACCTGATTCACGAGCCCTTTGTACTACATTAACAAAGGCACGAGGGGTTGGTTGCACTCGATTGGGAAACCGATCCGCATAAATCCGTGATGCCGCGTCAGCATTTTTTAAAGACTCCCCCCCCGTAAATAAGAATCATGTCCACAAGTTCAGCATTTTCGTAAACATGTGCCATTTTTGATTTCGTTTGAGCCACGCAAC